TGTTTTTCTCGTTGCCATGTTCCCACCAATAACGTAGCTCCATTTTCTGCCTTTAAAAGCACACACAACCCACAATTCCTCTATTCGCTCCGACGAAGGGCTAACGCTCGAAACGTCAGCTTTTGTAATCGTTACGGTGACCAATTTACCATTTCAACTTTGTTGATATATCCAAATTATTTCGTTACCCCCACCGACGCAGCCCCAAACAGTTTCTTTAGAAACTATCAGCCTTTCTTAAAAGTATTTTCATAAAGTTTCGTGATTGAAAGGAATTTCCACATATATAGAAAGAAGAGATTCCAGATAATTTAAAGAAAGCGAGTCGTATGCGAAATCATTTAGACTTTATCTTTTGTCCAAAGTAGATAAATCTTTAGTGAGACCCAGAGAATACAGTAGAGAGAATACAAAACAAAGCGACAGACGTATTGTTGGCGAGTTTAGCACGTCGCAGAAAAGACAAGAAACCCTCCAATAACTCTGGATATCACGTGTTCCTCGACTACTTTACCCCGTCTTGTCAAATATAACGATAAACCAATTACCTTCTACTCGAGACAGCGAAGACTCCAAATGTGCAGAAAAGGGGACATAAAACATATTACCACAAGTTTGAGTTTTTGTTCCTTTTATTAACAACATGAAACCATAATACTGTTTTACCTCCAAAGAAACTATCCGAATTCATAAATGGACGAAAAAACAAAAACTAGGATAAAACTGAAGAAATGTCGATTTTAATTAACAGAGAAAACAGCGATCAGTCGTTCCATGTTTTTTTCTCCAGTGCAAAAAGCGGAAGAAATAAATCGTCCGCTGAAATATCATTCCGTCAATTTGGAGAATGTCACTTTTTGCGCTGGAAAAATAAGGAACATGTGATCGCACATGATCTGAGCATGGAGAAGGATTTTAATGATAGTACGTAACGATTGTTGGATTGCACGCTCTTCGTAGTAGACCCTTGTAAGCTGGAGAAATTTTCATCTGTGATTTTTTATTTTATTTTACGGTGAATGATACTGGCAGAGGCCCCTCAACCCTCTTAAAACTCTCAGATGTGATTAACAAGTAAGTTCTCCCCATTATATCAATACATTATCCAGTAAACAGGCGATAAGAAAACCCAAACTGATCAGGTAAAAGTTGTCTTGATCCACCTGTAGAATTTAGCATTCTCTGCATTTTATTTCAGTTCATTAGCGTTCCTTCGGGAATACGTTTTGTTTTTCTTTCCCGTGTTCGGTGTAATTTACATGTTGTTAATATTCTAGTTTTTTAGTTTCATCGTTGATTTCATCGAGAGAACATCTTGTCTTAGAGAANCATCAATCAACAATCAATTAATCAGTCAATCAATCAATCAACAATCAATTAATCAGTCAATCAATCAGTTGATCAATCAACAATCAATTAATCAGTCAATCAATCAGTTGATCAATCAACAATCAATCAACCAGTCAAGCTGTCTGTCAGCCAGTCTACACCAAAACAGAAACTAACCTTCATTATTCTTGGAATATAGGGGCTACGGTTAGGTAAAACATCATCCATTCCTACAAAAAGACAAGGTGCACTGCTTGCTGAAGGGTTCTTTGAAAATCAAAGTAAAGGTATACTGTACAAGAGGTTCATATTCTACACATTGCTATTTGTCTTGAATAAAAAAAACAAAACAAAACAAAACAATCAAGCAATTTTCTAAACATAAGATTTTTAAAAAATTACTAGTTATCCAGAGAGGTGCAGCATTCTAGCATTCCATGTTTCTAAATTCTCAACTGACCCAAGTGAAAGGGTGAAAAATATAGAGCTTCTGCTTGTGAATATTTTCATGACATTGGAAAGTTAAGAAAAAAATTGTGAATCTATAACTGTTTTCTGAGGAATCACCTTAAGTTCCAAAGTTATAAACAGTTTATTAGGTACTTTACCTTCATGCCAAAATGGGACAACGATTGGTGTTACTTGTGCCTCTGCAATAAGCCGCCCAACACCTGACACCATAAACTCACATTAGTGGAGTAAAAAGAATTGGAAAACAATGCAGACATAAAATGGGCAAAATAATCTTCCTCGGTGATCTTAAAAGGAGGATGAATATTACCCCTGTAACTAAAACTATTTGCAGACAATTCAACCCCAACTCAATTCTAATATTTTACATATACATGACTGTACTTACCCCACTTGAGTCTCTTGATAGAATCATTTATATTAACAGCACCTAAAGAGAATGAAGGCAGTAAGATGTTCACACTTTGACTCCCAAGATCTGATTATTAATTCTCCCCTAAACTTGTCACTCATTTCCTTACATACATTAGTCATTTAACAATTAGTTCATGCGTCAGCGTGCATCATCGAGATATGAAGCACGCGGGAAGTTTGGAGAGCACAAAAGTTGCTTGAGGCATAGCCGAGAGCAACTCTAGCTTCTTGAGTGCTCTCCAAACGTCCCAAGTGCTTTATATCTCGATGAACACACAGCTGACGTATGAGCCAATTGTTTTATAACATTTTCAATACTGTAGTTCATGTATAAAGGGCAGAAATTCCCTCTCCTACGCTTCAATACATTGTTTATTTTGTTTCGGAAAAGTATTTTGCCATGCTTCAATGACCTTATCTCAGATTGGTCAAAAACTGACAGGTGAATTCATGCATGGAAATGAAGTTAGAGTTCCGAAACGAGATGAAACCGTTGATTGTTTTGTTTTCCCTTTCTCTGGGTTCTTTCTTGGGAGTTAAAAAATCCATTCCCAAAGAAAAAGTAGGCAGATCTTCATTGGCTTGTTTGCTTGTTGCCATGTCTAGTTAAACTTTTTTGCCAAAGTTTTTCCCATTTTTTAATGAAAAATGCTGAAGTCACTCGTGAGAAAAAAATTTTTTGTGAGGCATTTGTTTGCTGACGTCACCAACGTGCACAATGGAAAATTGAAGCACACTC